TCATCATGAGTCAGAACTGACTCGAGACACTTAACAAAAACATGGTGTTTAGAAGGAAAGGGAAACTCAAGTATGCATTCTGGTAGGAGGAGAATTGGAACATCAAATGATAGTGTAATACTTAATTGTACTAATCTAGATAAGAGTTCTGATGTGGTGCTGTAAGGTAAGCACTGAATTGCTAACGACAAGGTCAGTGGTTCAAACCTATCATCGGCTCCTTGGAAACCCTATACGGGGATGCTATGAATCTAAACTGACTTGACGGCACTGAAAAACAACAACAACCTGTATTTTAATCACAGAAACAAACTTTTATGTCATTTGTTACTGGATCTTTTATAGTGGTGTAGCACTGTAGTATCAACACTGGATTGTGAACCACAAGGTCAGCACTTCAAACCCACTAGTCACACCTCGGAAACCCTGTACATGGTCGCTAAGAGTTGAAACCAACTTGACAGCACTTAACAAAAACTACAAATATGTTGAAAGAATATGAAAAGCACCTAGTGTTGAAAGAACTTAGCTCTAGGAATGGAAAAGGAATTATTTACTGTAATTAAAGATTTCTGTAATCTTTAATTTAACTGAGTAATTAGGAATGAATTATACATAGCCAGGTGAATGCAGAAGGAAGAATGAGTGGAGGACATAGCACAAGAGAACCTTTTGGAAATGCAAGATTTTCTCTATGACGAAAGTCTAAGATATGAGCAGGCAGAAAAGATGAAAAGACCACAGAGATTGTTGTTAGGTTCCTACTCATAGCGACTCTGTAAACAACAGGAGGAAACATTTCTTGGTCCTGTGCCCTTCTCACCATTGTGGTTATGGTGGAGCCCATTGTTGCTGCCACTGTGTCAGTCCATCTCGTTTAGGGTCTTCCTCGTTTTTGATGACCCCCCACTTTTTCAAGTATGATATCCTTCTCCAGGGAATGAATCCTTCCTGACAATATGTCCAAGGAACAAGAGATGAAGTCTGGCCATCCTCACCTAAGGAGCATTCTGGCTATACTTCTTCCAAGACAGATTTGTTTGTTTTTTCTGGAAGTTCATGGTACTTTCAGAATACTTCACTAACACCATAACTCGAATGCATCAGTTATTTTGTGGCCTTCCTTATTCATTGTCCATCTTTCACATGCATATGAGGAGTTTGAAAATACCATAGCTAGAATCAGGTTCCCCTAAGTCCTCATAATGACGTCTCTGTTCTTGAACACTTTAAAGAGGTCTTTAGCAGCAGATTTGCCTAATACAATACGTAGTTTGATTTCTTGACTGCTGCTTCTATGAGCATTGATTGTGGATCCAAGCAAATGGAAATGTTCAAAGACTTCAGTCTTTCTTCCCTTATCATGATGTTAGTTATTATTTCAGTTGTGAGGATTTTTGTTTTCTTTAAACTGAAGTGCAATCCGTACCAAAGGTTGTAGTCTTTGATCTTCATCAATAAGTGTTTCAAGTCCTCTTTGCATTCAGCAAGCAAGGTTGTGTCATCTGCATATCACAGATTGTTAATGACTCTTCCTCGCATCCTAATGCCATGTTCTTCTTCATGTAGTCAGATTATTTGCTGAGCATACAGATTGAATAAGTGTCATGAAAGGATACAACCCTGACATACATCTTTCTTGATGTTAAACCATTCGCTGTCCCCTTTTTGTGATGACTGCCTCTTGGTCTATGCACAGGTTCCTCATAAGCACAATTAAGTGTTTTGGAATACCAATTCTTCATAATGTTATCCATAGTTGATTGTGATCCACATTCTACCCTAAATCTCATTCAAATAAATCCTCTTCTTTTTGTCTCCAAGATTGATGCAGTATTTTAGGTCCTCATCATTTCTTGACAAAATTACCAAAACAGCCTCTCAACTGGTTTTACATCTCACTTCCATGAAAATCATGGATTATACTGCCATCAGATTCATCTTACTAAAACAAATATCTGGTCATGCTACTTCCCATATTGAAAACTTATCTTTAGGATAAAATCCAAATGTATGAGTATGACAGCAATCTGTTTCTAACTATCTCTGCCTACCACTCATCTGTCCATTTTTCATGGGTTGCTGTGCTGCTGGAAGCGATGTCATGGCTATTTTAAATACCAGCAGGGTCACCCATTGTGAACGAGGTTCAGAGAAGCTTCTGGATCAAGCTAAGCTAGGAAGAGGACCAATTCTGATGGTTAGCAACTGGAAACCGTATGTCTGATAGAGTCCAACAACATACTGCATTAGGCAAATCTGCTGCCAAAGACTGCTTAAAGTGTTAAAGAGCAAACATGTCACTTTGAAGACCAAGGGATATCTGACTCAAGCCATGGTATTTTCAGTTGCCTCTTACACATGTGAAAGTTGGACAGTGAATCAGGAAGACTGTTGAAGAATTGGTGCATTTGAATTAAGGTGTTGGTAAAGAATATTAAAAGTACCGTGGACTACCAGAACAAATAAATCTGTCTTAAAAGTACAGCCAGAATGCTTTTCCATCGTCTCTTTCTGCAGATGTAGTCAATTTGATTTATATGTATTCCATCTGGCGAGGTCCATGTGTATAGTTGTCTCTCTCTTTTTTTA